TGGAAGCCACCAAGGACTATGGTTTGCACCCTCAGGAGCAGTGGCCTGATATGTGTCTGGTGCTCTTTTAGCCATGGCTGAAACTAAAGCAGCTGGGATACAGGCAGAAGTGCCTCAAGGCTGCACAAAGCAGGCCCTGGCCCACAAAATCATTCTTCCCTTCCAGGCCTCCAGGCCTGTGATGGGAAAGCTGCCTCAAAGATCTCTAAAATGCATTCCAGGCATTTCCCCATTATCTTTTTTATCAGCATTTGGTTCCTCTTTACATATGCGAATCTCTGCATCCAACTTGAATTCATTCCCAGAAAATGGGTTTTTCTTTACTACCACATGGCCAGGATGCAAATTTTCCAAACTATTACACTCTGCTTCCCTTTTAAATATATCAGTTTTGGATTATCTTTTTGCTCAGACATAACAAAAGTGGCTTTGGCTCCATGTCTCAATAAGTTCTTCATCTCTACCTGAGAGCACCTCAACCCAAACTTTATTATCCATATCATCATCAGCATTTTGGTCACAATTTAACAAGTCTTTAGGAAATTCCAAACTTTCCCTCACCTTTCTGTCTTCTTCTGAACCCTCTACCCTCTGCTCATTACCCAGTTCCAAAGTCAATTCCACATTTTCAGGTATTTTAATAGCAATGCCTCACTTCTCTGGTACCAGTTCTATTAGTTCATTCTTGCATTGCTTAAAAACAAAAACTACCCAAGAATGGATAATTTATAAATAAAAGAGGCTTACCTGACTCACAGTTCCACAGGCTGTACAAAAAGCATGACTGGGGAGGCCATCAGAAACTTACAATTATGGCAGAAGATGAAGGGGAAGCAGACATGTCTTACATGGCCAGAGGAGAAAGAGAGACTGAAATGGGAGGTGCTACAGACTTTTAAACAGCCAGATCTTGTGAAAATCTACTCATTATCATGAGAACATCAAGGGTTTCCCTAACAAATATTACAACTTACTATTTATTCCTCTGTATTTATCCCCCCTGCCCATGACCCAAGTTCTTGCCTCCTCAGTAAAAATGAATTCCACTGAGGGGCATAAAGCAGAAAAAGAGACAGAGGCAAGTTCCAGAGCAGAAATGGAAGTTTCTTTGAAAATACCTTAGAAGAGGAAAGAAAGGAAGGTGCATTTGGAAGAGGACACTTTAAGGTTAAAGGGAGAAGGTCACCAGGTCCCTCCTCTGACACTGGGGATTACAATTTGATGTGAGATTTGGACTGGGACACAAATCCAAACCACATTAATCAGTAATAAAAACTCTACTATCTACCAAACTTCCCAAGAAGGACTAACCCTAGTTCTCCTCAAACTATTCCAAAACAATGAAAAGGAAGGAATTCTTCCAAACTCATTATGTGAGGCCAGCATACTCTAGCCAGAGTATCAGTACTCTGTCTGGTACCAAAACTAGACAGACACAANAAAAAAAAAAAAAAAACTACAGGCCAGTATCCCTCATGAGATATAAGAATATTCAATAAAATACTAGCAGACTGAATCCAACAATACATCAAAAACTACACCACAATAGAGAAAGGATTTATTTCAGGAATGCAAGGGTGATTCAACATGCACAAATCAAAAAATGTGATATGTCACATCAACACAATAAAGGACAAAATCTATATGATTATCTCAATAGATGCAGAAAAAGTATTTGATAATTTTAACGTCCCTCCACAATAAAGCTTATATGACAAACCCACAAAAACTTCATACTGAATGGGGAAAAGCTAAAAGCTTTCGTCTAAGATCTGGAATAGAAGGAAGCCGACTTTCACCAGTCTTACTCAACATAGTACTGAAAGTCCTAGCCAGAGTAATTAGGCAAGAGAAAGGAATATAGGACATCCATATTGGAAAAGAGGAAGGCAAATTATCCCTTTTTGCAGACAACCTGATCATGTTCATATGTATACCTAAAGTCTTCACCAAAAAACTCTTAGGGTACAGGTAGTTAGGCATGAGTGGGAGGAGAGGGTTCTCCCCCTCCACCAACTAGAAATGCTGGGAATGCTGGGTGATGGCTTGGCAATTATCACATTGCTTCTCTAAAAGTAATAATTCAACAACACCAGGTGGAGGTCATTTCCTGGTCCACACCTGTTAACATCAAAATGTTAACTGAATGCAGGCCCCAGGGAAAGCAACTTACTGGGCATGCATGTTAAGAGACAAAAATGGTGAAGTATAATATTCCAGGGGCACACTCCACAGAAGAGGGAAGAAAGCCTCAGATGGGCATCTGGCATGTGTATAACCCCCTAAGTACACTGTGCATGCTCAATTCCAAAGGGTAAGGAAAGCACTGGGCACACGGAAAGCCCACCCTAAGGGAATAATCATAGGAAAGAGGTGAGCTTATAAAAGTCCTAGGATCACAGTTAAACGGGGCACTTGACCTTCTCCCTTTAACCTTTAAGTGCCCTCTCCCAAGTACACCTTCCTTTCTTTCCTGTTCTAAGACCTTTTCAAAGAAACTTCCATTTCTGCACTGGAACTTGCCTCTGTTTCTTGTTCTGCTTTATGCCCCTCAGTGGAATTCTTTCTTCTGTGGAGGCAAGAACTGAAGTTGCTATGGACCCTTGTGGACAGGCTGCTGGTAACATGGGGTAATATGGATCTCTACTACCAGTAACATTAGAACTGATAAATTCAGTGATGTTCAGGATACAAAATCAGCATACAAAAATCAGTACCATTTCTATACACCAACAATTAACTAGCTGAAAAAGAAATCAAGAAGTTAATTCCACTTAGAATAGCTATCAAAAACATAAAATACCAAAGAATATATTTAATTAAGGAGGCAAAATTTATCAATGATAAAAACTAAAAAACACTAATGAAATAAATTGAAGAGGACACCAAAAAATGTAAAGATATCCTATGCTCGTGAATTAAAAGAATATTGTTAAAATGACCATACGACTCCAAGCAATCTACAGATTAAAAGTAATTCCTGCTGCAGGAATTAAGAGTGAGACACAAGTGAAAGAAAAGAAAAAAAAATGGTAATTCCTCCCAAAATATCAACATTCTTTACAGAAACAGAAAAAAATGAAAAAATTTGCATAGAACCACAAAAGACTTTGTGTAACTAAAGAAATACTGAGAACAAAGGACAAAACTGGAGGAATCACTCTACCTGATTTTTTTTTTTTTCTTTTGAGACAGAGTCTTGCTCTGTCACCAGGTGCCAGGCTGGAGTGCAGTGGCACGATCTCAGCTCACTGCAACCTCCGCCTCCCGGGTTCAAGCAATTCTCTTGCCTCAACCTCCCGGGTTCAAGCAATTCTCTTGCCTCAACCTCCCGGGTAGCTGGGACTACAGGCGCATGCCACCAGGCCCAGCTAATTTTTTTTTGTATTTTTAGTAGAGATGGGGTTTCACTGTGTTGGCCAGGATGGTCTCGATCTCTTGACCTCATGATCCGCCCACCTCGGCCTCCCAAAGTGCTGGGATTACAGGCTTGAGCCACCGCGCCCGGCCTTACCTGATTTTAAAATATACTAAACAGCTATAGTAACCCAAACAGCATCATATTCGCACAAAAATAGACACATATACCAATGGAACAGAATAGAAAACCTAGAAATAAATTCACATATTTACAGCCTACTGATCTTCAACAAAGGCATCAAGAACATACATGAGGGAGAGAACACCCTCTTCAATTAATGGTGCTGGAAAAACTGGATATCCATATGCAGAAGAATAAAACTTGATCCCTATCTCTCAGCATATATGAAAAACAGCTCAAAATGGATTAAAGACTTAAATGTAAGATCTGAAACTATAAAACTAGAAGAAAATGTAAGAGAACTGCTTCAGGACATTGGTCTAGACAAAGATTTTATGAGTAACTTCACCAACATGCAATCTACACATGTAACAAAATTACACTTGTACCCCATAAATGTGTACAAATAATTAATGTTATAAGTAAGATTTAATAGGTAAAACTTTATTTTATGGGTAAAGCACTGGCAACAAAAACAAAAATGGACAAATGGGACTATATCAAACTTAAAAGCTTTTGCACAGAAAAGGAATCAATCAGCAGAGTAGAGAAGGCGTGTTAAGTGGGTAAAACTATTGGCAAGCTATTCATCCAACAAAGAACTAATATCCATAATACACAAGGAACTCAAACAACTCAAAGGCAAAAACCCCAAATAATCCAATTTTAAGATTAGCAAAGTATCTGAGTAGACATTTCTCAAAAGAAGGCATTTAAATGGTACAAAAGTATATTAAAAATGTTCGACATCACCAATCCTTATGGAAATGCCAATCAAAACCACGTCTCACTCCAGTTAGAATGGCTGTTATCAAAAAGATAGTAGCAAATGCTAGTGAAGAAATGGAAAAAAGGGAACTCTTATGCACTGTTGGTGGGAATGTAAATTAGTACAGCCATTACGGAAAGCAGTATGGAAGTTTCTCAAAAAGCTAAAAATAGAAATCTCACACAATCCAGCCATTTCACTACTGGGTATTTATCCAAACAAAAGGAAAGCAGTATGTCAAAGACATACGTATATCTGCACACTCATATTTATTGCAGGGCTGTTCACAATAGCCAAGATATGGAATCAACCTAAATGTCTATCAGCAAATGAAGAGGTTTTTAAAATGTGGTATATATACTCAATGGAACACTATCCCGCCATATAAAAAGAATAGTCTCATCATTCACAGCAACATGGATGATCCTGGAGGACATCGTGCTAAGAGAAATAAGTCAGACACAGAAAGATACATATCACATGTTCTTACTTATATATGAGAACTAAAAAATCTGAGCTGTTAGAAATGGGAAGAATGGGGGTCTGGGGAGGATAGAGAGAGGTTGGTTAACAATGCAGCTGATGGGAGGAATATGTTCTAGTGTTCTGTAGCACCGTAGGGTAAAGTTGGTTAAAAATAATTTAGTGTATATTTTTGAGAAGCTAGAAAGAGACTTTTGAATGTTCACAACACAAAGAAATATTAAGTGTTCAAGGTGACCAATATGCTAATTACCTTTATCACTCCATACTGTACACATGTATTAAAATGTTACTCTGTATGCCATAAATATGTACAATTAGTATGTGTCATTTAAAAATAAAAGAAAAAAGTAAAGCTAATCTACTAGAGACTGGGCAAAAATATTTATAGAACATATTTACAATAAAACACTTATATCCAGAATCTGTATATATTTAAAACTTGTAACTCAGTTAACAAGAAATTTTGCATATTTTTTTTTTTTTTTTTTTGAGACGGAGTTTCGCCCTTTTTACCCAGGCTGGAGTGCAATGGCGCGATCTCGGCTCACCGCAACCTCCGCCTCCTGGGTTCAGGCAATTCTCCTGCCTCAGCCTCCTGAGTAGCTGGGATTACAGGCACGCGCCACCATGCCCAGCTAATTTTTGTATTTTTAGTAGAGACGGGGTTTCACCATGTTGACCAGGATGGTCTCGATCTCTTGACCTCATGATCCACCCGCCTCGGCCTCCCACAGTGCTGGGATTACAGGCGTGAGCCACCGCGCCCGGCCAACAAGAAATTTTGAACAGATGCTTAACCAAAAGATATATACAAATGGCAAATAATTATATTAAAAGTTATGGTTAATCATTAGGGAAATGCTAATTCAAATAAGATACCAAACCAGGCATCGTGTCACACGAATATATTCCCAGCTACTTGGGAGGCCGAGGTGGGAGGACTGATTGAACCCAGGAGCTCAAGGCCAGTTTGGGCAACAGAACAAGACACCATTGCTAAAATAAGTAAATAATAAGATATCACTACACACTCTTTCGTATTCTTTTATGAGCTGTCAGGTGGGTTGGGTGCAGCCACAGGGGAGACACAGGAGAAGCTCAGAGGGGAAAATAGTTTCTTATACTCACAGGTCCTATAGACAGGAGGCGTGGCACGTCATGCAGGACCACATGGGAAAGGTATCAAGTGGTCAGGAGGCAAAAGCAGAACCAAGGAGAAGGGTTGGGCTATTGCTTTTACTGAGGTTTCTCCAGAAAAGGCAAAGCAGGGCAGAATGAACAGTTTGCTTTGCTATGGAACCCCTAGCAAATATATAAGTAGTAAGTGTGAAACAGCTGAGGAAGCTTGGGACCTTGCTGGGAAAGTGAGCCATCTATGATTTAGAGCCAAATGAAAGGTGAAAATAATAAAAGCTATAGGTATTTAGAAGAGGGCATATGCTTCTCATGAAGTCCCCAGGTAAGTCTGATAAAGCAGGTAGAATTTGAGATAGAACTTAAAATAGACATGTTTGGGGTCAATGGACAAGAACATAAGAGAATAGGAGAGACAGTGGAATAATATTCACTGAACAAGCATCTCCTCACTTACCATGAGCCAGGTACTAAGCTATGGTCCAGGAATATAGTGAACAAAACAGGCATGGTTCCTGTCCTCCTGGTGTGCACAGCCTGAGATAGAGCAGGATTGTGTGGGACACCAGTGTGCACACTGGCAGTGATAGAGCAGGACTGTGTGGGACACCAGTGTGCACACTGGCAGTGTTGGCACAGGACAAGTCACAGAGCTGTGGAGTCAGGACCTGTCTCTTTTGAAGACTGGCTATCTTTGTACCATGTGATTAAGCACTTGATTTTGCTCTATGATTATTCTATAAAAGGGATTTGTCATCATTACCATTCTCAGTTAGCTGGATTTTCTTCTGCATCAAAGATTGCACAAGAAGCTGGATTCCAAACTCCTTGGAGACAGTGGTGTTGATTCTCCTTTCTTATTTCTCCCATCTTAACAGGTGCCAGAGGCACTGACTCCCCATTCTTATATTCATGGGCTACTCCCAGAATCAGCCATTTCTCTATAACAGCCAGCTTGTGAGCAAGACTCATCCCCGTGGGTCTGCCTCTTCGGCACTCACTGTTGGTGGTGATCTGTCTCATTGCTTGTACAGGTGGTAACAGTGCCAGAATCTTTCAAGAAGAGGTTTGGTAGCTATCAGAGTGAGATCCTCCTCTCCATTCTGTATTTACTCTTCTATATATTCAACAAGATGTCAGCAAGTTATGTAAAAGCCAGCCCAAGAAACAGAACCAAGAAAAAAAAAAAAAAAGCAACAGGTGGGACTCAAGCTTATGCTGGATTTACCCCAGAAATTTATTCTGGGCCCCTAAATTACTTGTTGTGCCCTTTGCTGTTAATCCAGAGTAGAGAAAAAGTAACTTAATAATATTCACAAAAAATAAAAGGCAGAAGCATCTTCTTTACCCCCCAAGCCTACAGGTCCCTCCACTGTATTCCCAGGAAAGCTTGGGCTGACTCATCACATATCAGTAGGTCATGTGCTTAAAAGAACACAGGAGTTTCCACCACCTGTACAAGAAAGCTTCAACTACTTGTTATGGCTTTTAAGGGCTGCCCTGCTGAAGCCCCAGTCTACCTTTCTAAATGGGTCTCCTTATTTCCTCCCGTTTACACACTGTGCTCTAGTCCCACTGCTTGCCTTATTGATTCTCAAGTCCAGCAAACTTATTCCAACTCAAAACCCTTTAGACTTGCTCGGTACTGTCTGGAATGTTCTTCCCCCAGATTTTGCATAGCTGACTCCCTGTATGATTCCTTGAAAGAAAAACAGCACTTCCTTGAAGAGGCCTTCCAAGAATGCACCCAGTCAATCTCTATTCCATTACTCTAGTTTTGGTTTTTAATTAGAGATGGGGGGGAGGGGTCTTGCTATGTTGCCCAGGCTGGAGTGCAGTGGCTATTCATAAATGTAATCATCACCCACTACTGTGGCAGACTGGGTCTCACTAACACAGGCCTCTGAAACAACTGCTTCTGCACTGACTGAGTGGTTAAGTTAAATATTAAAAGCTGATAGAGCCAGAGTTCTTATACAAATGCTGTAATCTAACAAAGGTCCACCAAAAGTTTTGCCTAGGCCTTTCCTGGGCCTTGAAGCATGATAAGGTAAAAAAAAAATTCTTAACAGGACCCATTTAGGATTAAACAAGTTTTATTGGGAGTCCGAAGAAGCTCCCCAGGTCTCTCCACAAACAAGTTTATTGGAGGTCTGCAGGAACTTCCCAAATCTCCATAATTTATCAGGAGACAAGATAAGGATAATCACTGTAAGGCCGGTTGCCTCACGGGGAGCGTGGACACGCCCATCCCTCTCCACGCCTGAAATGACGTCACCAGAATCTGCACTCAGCATCTAGCTTCACCACGCCCACCTCTGCACTCAACACTAAACTCTGCACTTGGCACCTAGCCCACCATTGGAAATCCCCTCTGCACTCAGCACCAGGATCTGCACTCAACACTAAACTCTGCACTCTGCACCTAGCCAGCCGTTGGAAAACCCCACCAAAATTTAAAAGAAGCCCCGTCAAAACCTGCCCAATAGCATATTGCCCCGTCTAGCCCGCTCACTGGAAATCCCGCCTACCTACCTATAGCAGCTTGCCACGTCCACGTCCTGTTCTCCACAGCCAATCAGAGCACCTTCCCTCCCTATATAACCCCACGCCTGAGCGGCGTCAGGCGTGACTTCCCTGGCCTCTTTCCCTGGGACCACGGAGCCTCACCCCCGAGCCGAATAAATCGGCGTCTAATTGTTCTCGTGCAGGCCTCAGTTTCTTCATTTTAAACTCGGCAATAAACCTTACAGAGAATAAACCTTACAATCACCCCAGCACCTGGGCCCATTTAGATTAAGTAAATTTACTAAGACTCCAGAGGAAGGTCCAGAGGTACTCAGATCTCAGTTATAGATTAGAAGTTAATCACTTATGTCTTCAGATAAATGCACACTTACATGTAGACATAGAGCTTAGAAGGCATATAAGCTCTAGAAAACTGTAATTTTGAGTTGGTCTGGTGATAATTTTGACTTTCTCCCTGTTACAGAAATAAAAACTCTCCTCTTTCCCAGTTCACCTGCATCTCATTATTGGGCCATGAGAGTAAGCAGCCCACCCCTCGGTTTGGTCCAGGAACACTTAAACTTTAACTCCTGGGCTTAAGCAATCCTCCTACTGAGCCTCCCAAGTAACTGTGATTATAGGTGTGCACCACTGCACTCAGCTTCATTACTCTCTGTGTATTGTCTTTGAAATGCCTGCCACCATGCGAAAGTAATTTATTCGCTTGCTAATCTGGCTTCTCCATTTCAGTGCAAACTTTCTGAGACCAACAGCCTTCCTGCCTTGTTCACTGCATTACCTTCCCCTTCTCCTGAGAACATGTTTGGCACATAAGGCACTCCATGAATGTTTTTTGAATAACTGGAATAGTGGCACTTATTACACTGCATAGAAAATGCCTACTTTGTGGTTTGTCTCCATTAAACATAAGCTCTAGAGGACAGCAACTGAATGTTGGTAACTTGTGTCTTCTGAACACTGCTGAGTGTCTAATGACATGACTGACACTCAGTAAGCAGTTAGTGAATAAATGGATAGATGAATCTCTGACCGTTGTATCCTGAGCTTTGGAGATCAGAATAACAAAGCAAGGGGTAATCCAGTTTAATGATGTGCAGATGTTTCAAAATCAGTGTCAGCTAAGCCGGGGTTCAACAAATCCGGTCGGCAGGCCAATCCAGCTAATGATGGGCTTTGTGCAGCCCTTGAGCTAAGAATGATTTTTATAGTTTTAAAAGGTTGTAAAAAACAGAGATGGTATGTCGCCAGCAAACTACCCTTCACAGGAAAAGTTTGCTGATCTCTGAGATGTCATTCCCATTCCTTTTTTCCAGTGGTAGAACTGTAAGAACAACTAACTCTCTGAGCTAACTCCCTCTCCAGAGTGGAAGAGGCTAAGTTGTGCCAACTGGAAGAACTGGGTTAACTCAAACCCTAAAAGTACTAACCTTGGCTGAACTCACAGGGCACAAGCCTATGCTTGGGTGAACCTCAGCCAGTGTCCACTGGCGATGTAGTGCTAGTCAGATATCACCTCTGGTAGACCGCATCTAAGGTCAGTGTCTTTGTGGAATCATTGCAGAGTTAGCTGAAAGTGAAAGTGCAGCCTGCTGACTCTGTATTCACTTCAGTTACAGGTTTTCTCTTCCGCCATGTTTACGAAGCTAGTTTGGGA